TGTTTCTAGCCTCATCTTTATTGATCTGCTTACAGAAACTGCCTCTCCGGTTAACCCTTATTACATTGTAACAGCTAAGGCTGTTATCGACCTGAGTGACCTTGAGTTGGCCACGCCCACCCAGTCACATGACCACCGAGCCCCACCTACCCAGATGGTCATTAGGGCAGAGAACCGGTTGTTAAATTATTTGAATCCCACCACTGATGTGTGCCCAATATAAGCCCTATCCCTCGAAATAAGTCCTACGTCAGGGTTGTCATAGCCCTAAAGATGACACCTTAATTAAGAACCCTCCCACTCCAGGGTGCATGGGGTGGGCCGAGGCACACGGGTAATAATTAAGCTAGGGTTGGGATGTGGGGGTTTTGGAGCTGCCCTACTACTTACCTTTGGATAGTTGCAACCAGGCCTTGCATACTCCAATGCCTGCCTTGCTTGCCCATTTCTTCTGGTTTCACCAACAAAAGGGCGACCGACAAAACCGCGCCTGACTAAACCGCGGTGACAAAACCGTGAGTTCTAAACCACGCCCACGAATGAGCGCTGAATCGTGCCGACAACAGCGTGGCGACAGAAGCGCACTGTAAACCTAACCCTAAACCTAACGCTAACCCTAACCCTAAACGTAACGCTAACCCTAACCCTAAACGTAACGCTAATCCTAACCCTAACCCTAATCATAAACCTAACCCTTACCTTAACTTAAATCGCCCTTCTGTCAACGCGCTGTTGTAAATCGCCCTTCTGTCGACGTGCTGTTGTCGACGTGCTGTTGTCGATGCGCTGTTGTTGGTGCATTGATGACGTCACGGTTTTAGCGACGTGGTTTTGTCGGCGCGGTTTTGACAAGCGCGGTTTTGTCGGGCCACGTTTTTTCTGCAGCCGGCAAGGCTGGAAGGCTTTCCTAAAGGCCTCTACATCGATCTGGAGCTCTGTTATCGGCTGCATAGGCCTTCAGGAAAGCTTTGCCGACTGCAGAATAAGTTCCCGAAGGCCTCTGACAGTGAAAAGGAGTCTGGGATGATTCGCACAAGTGAGGTGAGTCAGTGGATGACACCCCCCCAAAAAATAAGACCTGGTTGAAAAAAAAACTGGGACTTATTTTCGGGAAAACATGGAATAGCATTTTAAATGTGCTAGCTACCTTTTGTGTCTTTCCGCCCAACACCTCTATCCCCCGATTTTCTGGCAGGCATTACACAACTTTGGAAAGACACAATTCTTTAGATACACATCTTTATTGATGTTATCTTTTCAGAAAATAAAGAACGTTGAGAAGAAAATAACCATCTTTCCAATAAAACCTGGGAATGAGATTTCCTTTTTATTCCTGGTGTGACCCAGGGAAAAGAGAATATTTTAATATATAATATTATCCTAAGCTAAGCAGAAATTATATGAGCCACCTTCTTCCACTTTCAATCCTTTATAAAGGAAACATTTGAAGACTAGGAAAGTTCTATCTTTTAGAGACAGGTATTCCTCGACTTACGAGTATAATTGAACCTGGAATTACAGTCAATGGTCCCTGTGGTCATAAGTGAAGGGATCATATGACCAGATCATTATTTTTTAAATATTTTTTTTGCAGGATTTGCTAAATGAATGGCATGGTTGTTGAGGAATCAGTTTCCCCCAACGAAGTGTTTCTCAACCTTGGCGACTTTAAGTCCTGTGGACTTCAACTCCCAGAATTCCCCAGCCAGCATAGCTGGGGAATTCTGGGAGTTGAAGTCCACAGGACTTAAAGACGCCAAGGTTGAGAAACACTGCCCCAATGGGTGTTTTTTTTTTTATGGAAACTGAAAATAAACCCTGGAAACCAGCAAAAACATTACAGGTCATGGTCATGTGACCATGGGACATTGCAAACGGCCATAAAGGTGAGCTAGTCACTAAGAGCTTAAAATGCAGAATACATGACTGCGGGGATGTCGTAAGCTGTCATAATTTCAAAAGCAGGTCATGAGTGGTTTTTGGGGGGGACTGTCTTAACTTCGAACAGTTATTAAGTGACCGGTTATAAGTTGAGGACTACCTGTGTCTACCTTTTCCTCGCACTCCAGTTTGGAGGATGTTAAAAAAACATCAAGCTGTCTCCTGTTATTTTCCCATCGTTGTAAGTGAAAAAAGACACTTTGGACACCCTGTTTCCTAGAAAACTCAAATGAAGAGGTGAGATATACACATTGCTTTGCAGTTTGGAAAATAATGGTTTCTCCTGTTCTTTCCCCCCCCCAAGTTGCAATATTAATTTTTTGTCTTACATAAGCTTTGGGAGACAGGAATTCTTCTTCCTATGCTTGGAGATTTATAACAGAGGAGAAATAACTGCTAAAAACCTTTCATGTTTCTTAACATGCACAAAGGGAAACATTGAGATTGTGCTGTACTTGAGGTCATGTCCATGTGGTTTTCTTGCAGCAACAGAGGACTGATTTGCAGGCTCCTGACTATGGGTTTTGTTTTTTTAAACTTTCTTGTCTAATCTACAGAACTAATAAATAGTCTACTGCTTTTTATCACTATGTCATCACCATGTCTGCTCTGCTTCGCTTTTAAGATCAGTCCAAGCCATTTAGGTACTTCCACTAACTCACTGAACATTTTCATACCTCAGCCAATCAGTGAAAGTTTTTCTCTGATCACCAAGCTGCTTGTCCTTAGAACAAATAGAGACAAGCTGAAGAGGGAGAGATGAGATTAGAGTTTGAAGAGATATTCCCAGTTGGTCAGTACAGTATTCTTAAATGGACACCTAGTATGTCTGTATAGGCAATAACTTATTCTTTTGGGAGCATTGGATATGCTTTATACCCAATGATAGACGTCTGCTGGCATTTTCTGATTTCAGTGAAGTGGTTATAACTTTTTTCTGTACTGACATTCATTTTTTTTAATTAAATTTATATACCACCCATCTTGCTGTTCTCTGCAACTCCGGATGGAACATCCATCTTTCAATTCGACTATCTTGATAGGAATTCATCAGGTGACTCTTAAGCATGTACCTAGCATGATGGGCAAGTATCTTTATGCAAGGATAGAAATAGAGTGAGAAATAGTGGGTGAAAGAAATTAAAGACACATGATAAGAGGAAAAAAAGAAATAAAACTAGTTAACACTGACACTCTGTTTGTATCTCTGAAAACTTTCTTTGCTTCTCCCATATCTATACTGATTTATTAACTGCTTTTTGCCGTTGAAACTGATGCTGTGCTTCTAACACCCTAATTGAGCCACACAACACTTACTGTGCATTCCTGCAACCCTCTCTGATCCATATGGCATCTCTCATGCTGCCTTGTGCATCCTTTTCAGCTCTCACGGCACCTCTTATGCATGCTTGTTTCAGAAATTGTTGCCCTTATGATGTACCACTTAGCACAATTGAAGATTACAAGCAGACACAAAAGTTTTAATAGTGTATAGATATGATACTAAAAATTGAGGGTTGTCTATACGTTTCAACATTTCTCTTTTTTTCACTGGGAAAAAAATGATATTTCTGAAAATATTGTCTCCCTACCTAGTGCCTATCTATTATCTATCTATCTATCTATCTATCTATCTATCTATCTATCTATCTATCTATCTATCTATCTATCTATCTATCTATCTATCTATCTAGATAGCTATCTATCTAGATAGCTATCTATCTTGCTATCTATCTTGCTATCTATCTAGCTATCTACTTCTCTCTCTCTCTCTTTCTCCCTCCCTCTCCCCCTCCCTGCCTCCCTCTCCTCGCATGCTGTTAATACGATTTAGATTTCTGCAGCACTAAAAACAAGTTTCATGATGAGCAGAGAAAGACATTCATATCCTCAACAAGAGTTTGCCATGTGCACAAGTAATATAGGAGTATTGATCTATTTCTCATTATGAACTAACACCTTTCCTTTATAATTGTTCCTTAGTTTGAAAGATGCAAATGACTCGCCAATTCAGTGTGAGATTTCTCCTCTTGTCTCCTATGGGGGTGAAGTAAGTTGCTGTGGTATTCTGAATTCTTTTTCTCCTCCCCCAGCCTTCCCCTAAACATCCCATCCTAAAGTCGAAATTCTGCTTTTTGGATGGTAAGATAAATAAGCCCTGGTGGTGCAGAGGTTAGAATAAAGTATTGCAGGCTAACTCTGCCCATTGCCCACAGTTTGATCCTGAGTGACTGAAGGTTGACTCACTTTTCCATCCTTCTGAGCTTGGTAAAATGGGCCCAGATTGTTGGGGGCAATATGCTGATTCTGTAAACCATACAGAGAATGCTGTATATAAGTCTAAGTGCCATTGCTAAATATGAATATAGATGATAGGGCAATGTTGAACCAAGCAACCTCTGTGAAAGGAATGTGATGTAATAATGGAAAGTTGGCATTCGTGAGGCTCACGACAAAAGTCCCTAGCATGTAATCCTTGTTTCCCATGCTTGCATTGAATTATGAATAGAGAGGGATGTTTAGTTGCTGAACACTTGTATTACAAATTTAAATGGTCCATTGGTGTTAATATAATTATAGCATACAATACATTTATGGATTACTACTTCATTCCTACTTGATATTGGGATTTGTATTATGTTTATATTATTGTAAATTAGACTGCTAAACTTGCTAGCCTACTCCAATGGCAGCTTTAAAACATCACTCTTACAAAACTGCCTCATAGAAAATTGGGTAAGCAGCTAATTACAATACTGTTGCAATCCTTCATAAGGGGGCTTTCATCAAAACTGTTCTCATATACTATAATTATGCAGCAGAAATTGGACTTGTGAGCTTGAAGGTTTAACATGAATATATCAAGTGCTCCCAACACTTAACTTTCATCCCCATAATAATACTTAATGGAGGATGATAATACCTTAAAGCATATACCTAAAAAAAACCAGGATTTAGAAAGCTATATTTAAGGCCACCCAGTACAATCTGAACAGGAATTTGAAACTGATTCTCTCAAATGGAAAGTCCAAATTGTATATTAGATTAAGTTTGATGGTTAAATTTGCTGTACTGATACTAAATTTATCCTGACTAGTTCCTGAGTGTTTCCTTTTTCCTAGGGATTGGTGGAGTTGGTCAAAGACAAAGAATTCCATGCTCCTTTGATTATCGACCAAAGTGGGATCCACCATCTAGTGAAGAATGGTGTCTGAAATGTCCAGAAGATATCATCTTTCTAATCCGGGATTTTATGATTCTTTTGTGTCAGACTGAGTATTTAAACAAAGGTTTCACTATCACCTTGAAGAATCTTCACTCAAATTGAGTTTCCTTAAAAATCAGTAGTAGGCTACAAATAAGAAAGAAAATGCAAACATGACTTCATCTTGGAATCTTGGAGATAACTATTTATATAATTCTTTAATGCTTTAAAACGGCTGCTGTTCCAGATTGCAGCACCTATTTCGTTATATGCTGTAATGTTTGAAGACAAATCCTTTATTACACCTGTAAATGGTCTACGTGGTACGAAGGTTGAGAAACTTACATGAGTTTTAAGTTTGGCTTTTGCATTTGGTACTCATACTTTACGAATAATTATATCTTGCTGGAATTGCACAATTGAAACACTAAAAAAGTAGTACAACTGAATTAAAATGAATTGTTTTTCCTAACATAATGTTTCTTGAAACTTCTTTAATACTTGGCTTATATTTATGTTATGGCAGAGGCTATGAGATAATAAGATAACAAGAGCCTGAGATGTTTTTTTTTGTATTTCTGGGAAAGTGCTCACTGCAGTCAATATGGATCTAAGGAATGCATTCTCCTTCCAAGATTTGTATATAGAGCAACAGACTCTCTCAAACGTCACCTTGAAACTGTGTTTAAGGAATTGTTGCAGGAAACAACCACTATTTCTTAAATTCCTTCTCAAGAATGCAAAGATAGTGAGGGTGCCGGAAGCCTAATCTATATTCTGCCCAAAACATATTTCTTTTTGGAAAATTTCCTTTCATCAGATGCTTGGTAATATTATTTTGGTATTTTAACCAAAATATAGACAGCTATTTGTGGAATGTTAATTTCCAGAAATTGCTATAAGAGAGTTAAAAATACAGAAGAGAGATAAGGCTGGAATTTGTGCAAATGATGGTGATTCAGTTCTGTTAAGTTAAAACCCTATTCATTTTTACAGTTTGATTTTGAGCTGCATTTAAAAGAAATTTAATTACAAAACTTTAAAAATTATGTTAGTCTCAGACCTGACATAGCTCTAATCTTTTTTGAGATTCTGTAAGAGATGGATTGGTGGGTTGGATGGCTGGTCAGTTAGTTAATTTGGGCACTAGATGTGATACATCCACGAGGATTAATACATTTGGTTACATGAAAATGGGCCTAAAATGAACTTCCTTAGTCCTTCTAACTTTCTGCCTGCCAGTAGGGATAAAATCCCATCTCCGAAGTGTTTTGCTTGATGGCAGATAAATTCACATAGCCAGGTTCTGTGCATTTTTATTAACAATTAAATTATATGAATATTGATCTACAATTCAGTTACATGAACATTGCTCAGCTGTATCACGAAGAATGCTTTCAAAGATATAATTATGAAATTCAAGGGGCAGGAAAAAGCATTTTGATGGGCAAAAACCAAACAAGAACCGTTTCATCTACCCAGACATGTAATTAAAATATGAAATTTCAGTATTCAGAATTGCTCATTCAGTTCTGAAGACCTTAGTCAATCCTAGGATATGTTTGCCAAATTAAACTTTTCTGAGTGAAAAGATATCTGCTGCAACAAGGAGTAAAGAATTAAGGATGTTTAAAATTGCATTTCCTGTGAAATGGAAAAAAACCTGTTTAAATAAATATGGAAGAATGAATAATTTGGGAGAAGGGGGGGATGGAAACTATTCTCAATTGCTATTTATAGATATGTAGAAATGTTAGCCAGATTTGATCCGTGGATATATGGACACAGATTTGTGCTGGTTTAAGCAGGATTTTNGGAGCTTGCTCAGAAGCTGAAATACACCAAGCAAATGAGATGAAGAGTGGGAAGAAAAGAAAGAGGTAAGGGAAGGAGAGAGGGATAGGAGAGAGGGTAGGAGGGGGGAAGAGGAGGAGAGAAATGAGTGGAAAAGGGAGAGAGGAGTAGACGAGAGGAAGGGGAAGTAAAGAAGGGAAGGAGGACAGAGAGAAGAAAGGAGGTAGGGAAGGGGATTAGAGAGGGAGAACAAAATGAACACACAAATATAGTATATGGAGAGCAGAAGAGCCAATAACTGGTTTCTTTTTCTTTTGGGGAGTTGAATTGATGTAAACATTTAATAACACAATATGATGTTGGCTATGTAATAGTATGCATGTGATTATATGTTATGAAAATGAAAAATAAAAAACTTTATGAAAAAAAAGCATCTCTGCAAAAGCAGAAACACTTTCAATATCGCCCAAATACTCAGTAAATGCATTACAATATTCACTGCATGGAATGCTATTTCTCAATAATTGATAGCTAGAACATAATGTTGTATCTTATAATTAGAATTTCTAATCTTTGGATTTTGCATAGCACTGGCCTCTGTTCTGAGTCACTATAGCATTAGGGACACAGATCTTCCTGGGGCATAATATCATTCTAGAGCCGTGATGGCGAACCTATGGCACGCGTGACACAGGTGGCACGCAGAGTCCTCTCTGTGGGCATGCATGTACACTGGCCAGATACTCTCTTCTGGGTTCTGGCGTGCACATGCACACTGGCCAGCTATCTGGCATGCATGTGCGTGCAGGAACCTGGGAAGAGCAGCTGGTTGCTGCATGCATGTGCACCAGCCAGCTACTCTCTTCCGGGTTCAAGTGCTCCGGCACACGCTCCAGTTTTGGCACTCGGTACCGAAAAGGTTAGCCGTCACTGTTCTACAGCAACCCTTTTACCTAAATTGATGTTCACTCTCTTCTTCAGGAATACCAAAATTTCCAGGGCAAATAGTATTTTGTCAGACTGTTTCACTTGGGTCCTTCTTTAGCAAATCCACCAAACCAAATGTAACGCTTTAGCATATAATGAATTTCAGTGATTTTAAAAAATATATATATTCAAGGGCATTTTCAGTTTCATATTTGATTCCTATCATTGTTTCAAAAATTAACAGAGGTCATCATTTCTAAATGTTTTCAACTGGCTGCTCCAGCCCTCTGGAACGATCTCCCTGTGGAGATTCGGACCCTCACCACCCTTCAGGCTTTCCGTATCGCCGTTAAGACCTGGCTGTTCCAACAGGCCTGGGGCTGCTGAGTTCCATCCCCTCTCGAATTGAAGTGCTAGTTGAGACCTTTTTAAACTGTTTTGTATTGTTGCTTGTCTTTGTTCTTTTCCTTTTGTATGATGTCCCTTCCCTCCAGGTTTGTGAGCCGCCCTGAGTCCCTTGGGAATAGGGCGGCATACAAGTTGAATAAACCTCTAAACCTCTAAACTACCTAATTATGAATTGCATTTTAACGTTCAAAATTTGAGGATAGAATCGGACAGGATGGGATGGGATGGGATAGGAAGGGACAAATTTAGTCTTAGTTTTGTCTTTCGTCTTGCTTTGTACTTGGTACTTAAAGGTCAAATAGGATTTCTCAAAAGAAACTTCGCATTTTGTTATCTATATTAACCTATATTAATATTAAGCTACCGGTATTCATCTTAAGAAAAAGATTCCTCACCTCCTATTTCTGCTAGCAGATTTGTTCTTCAGCAACATTCGCAAGATCATTTATACCCCAATTATGTGGTAGAGAAAGGCTAGATGTTACTGCAATTTGTGAATGAGTTGCTTACA